AACCTAAATGATTCCATGATTCTATGTTCTGCCCCCATACAGCTTGCCAACAGCACCCAAGAAAGCACAGCTGCATCTGATGTCTTGACATGACATAACAAAACTATTTCAGATGCTAAACCTTTAGGCTTGATGTAAGACTCTAGCCAAGTAAGTAGCCTTTGCAAAGTAGCATGTGACACAGGCCAGGAATAATACACAGACTGACTTAATTTCTGTATTACCCCTTGGACCTGACTCAGTTATCACAAGAGACCACAACTTCCTCCCCACCTATACAACCCTGTTTCAAATCCATTTCCTTGTCTCACAACAGTTTCTTTGGCAGTTTCATTCACATCACAAACTTGTGTTTCTCATCCTCAGTCCTAACTTCCTCCACCCTTCCACTCATCCATGTTTTCTTCACATGCAAACATTTTTTTGCCACTAGCTTCCCTATTCCTGTGCATTTTGAGAATCTTTAAATGGATTATCTGCATCTGTGGTCTCCAAAGCTGGGGGTGTGCAAGGCACCGCTTGCATTGTGATGCAGAAAGAAAAATTTTAAACCATTAATAAAATTAAAAACCTAAAATATTGTTTATTTCTTCCTTATCTCATCCGTTTTATAAAATGTGTGCAAAAATAGAAATAATGTATTTGAGAATTGAAGCACACATTTATTTATAAATTATATGAAAGTACGTTGTGTGTGCATTTTGAAAACATTTTACTGATCAAGAAACTTGGAGACCACTGATCTATGAAACAAAACAAATAATTTTGAAATGCCCATAGTTACACCAGTTACACTAAGGTCTACATCACAGACAAAAAATGACATTTCTTTTTATTTTGAAGACACTTCATTTTTACCCTTGACCTCTGACAGGCTTTCTATGATTTTAACCGTGAGGAAGTCACCTCTTCCATTTCACAAATAGCAAAACCATTTTTTCCACCTATACATTTCTTCTCTCACCCAGTTTATTTGCTGTAGCTGACCTAATTCCACATCCCTCCAAAACTTTGTTTCTTTCATGAATGTTTTATTTATCAAGTACTTCTAAACTTGCTATGTTTGATATAGAAATCCCAGCACTGTCAAAGGCTTCAGCTCTGGAAAACCAGCTCATATCCTCTAGCACCAGGCTCATTCTCAGTTCAATTACAGCTGTTCTACACCATGCTCCAAGCAGAGCAAAGCTTTTTGGCGTGAAAAAGTAACAACATCTATTTCACACACACACACACCCCTCAGCCCATCCTACTGTCATTGCAACAGCCACCCCCACCTGTCTCCTTCCTCTTCCCTTGGAATTCACTGCTGGCCAGTGCCCCATCTCCTCCAGTACATCAGCCTGGTGCTTATCTAAGCCCTTTATGATCACGTTTAACCTATTAGCCCAGCAGAAGACCCCCCAGATTTTTCTCCTGTGTCAGTTTCCTGCTACATGAGGTAAACTGGCTCACACTGGGGTGTGATGAATGCCAGAGCAAATTCAAAGAGCAAGACCTCCACTTTTAATGACAGTAAGTGGCCAGATTGGCTCAAGCCATCCTACAAATTGTATTCGACATGGAAAAATTTTCACCCATCCACAGTAAAGACAGAGCTCCCTAGAATCAGAGTATAGCATGCTTGAACTACAGTAAATTACAGTAAGTCTCTCAAACTGAGATTAAATTGATTACCCTCATTAGATTGAATCAAAGTTCAGCAATGTTTCTCAGTATCATCTTAATCTGTGTCAGCTTTGCAGAAACACCAGCATAAGAAAGTTTTATTATTACACATTTACCCCCAGTTTTACTTCTGTAAAAACCTTGCAGAGCTCCAGTGAATTTCTAAGCAGATGTCACAAACCTGTTTGTGACAGCAGGTGACACTACAATTATATCCCTTGGGAGCTGAGAAACTCATGGTTACTGATGGCAGCTGATTTCACCTTCCCATGCTGCCACTGAATCCAATAGGTTGGGGAAATTACTTCTACCTCCACCCCCTGGCTGTCACAAAGACCAAAGACTTTGAGATATAGCACTATGCCTTGGCTTCAAATATTCTGCCTAGTACCTTCCTGTTTCATGGATAGGAACACTGGATTTCCTACAGACAAGTGCTCATCAGGATTTTCTACGATACTAGCAGGTGCTTCAGAAGCCAAATTTAGTGTAGTCTAAACTGCTCTCTTGGTGGAGGGCTTGACTTTTTTTTTTCCATTCTTTGCCAGATTTAGATGTCTCAGTAAGACTTTAATCATAAACTAAAGGTCAATGGTATCAGTTCCAAACCTGTGATCTTTGACACTTCTTACAAATCAGTGTAAAACTAGTTAGTAACACAGGGGAAACCAGTTAGCATTCCACAGTCTCGCTCTACTCTACAAAACTTCTACACAAACAGCATTCTGGTCTGGATGGATGACAGACCAATGTAAGCCCTTGCCTGTGAAGTTTATTAAAGGATAGCCCTTATATTCTTCTGTTACCAGATTTGGGTCAGGACTGATTAGGGTTTTTACATTCTTCATATATTGATGTATTCCAAGAAGTAGCTGTGCAACCTCACAGATGGTCTGGTCTGCACACATACCCTAGAAAACAGACTAAGAGGGAAAAACAGCTTTGAAGATGCTATGGGGGCATAGCAGGCCTTCATTTGTGTAAATGCACTGTACAGAACTGATGAATGATTAGGGGTTCTAACGTGGAATATAAAACAACTGTTGCAAACACTGCATCTTTGCACCCTGAATTTCACTAATATCCATAAGATGTAGTGTTGACCAGCTGTTCTCCCATACAGGGGAATACTCAGTTTTCTCATTCCATGTGTTAGCCCTCAGGCCCATTGGTTTATTTAGAAGAGCTTTCCCACCATGCAGGTTTAAAAAACAAACTACAAGAAAAACACAGGTTAAGTAAACACTGTATACTTTATGGCCAAAAAACACAGCAACACACCTAAGCAATAAAAAACCCTCCAGTATTAAACATCATATCAAAGTAGAGAGAGAGATTGTGTAACAGCATTCATAATCAACAAGGCAGAACTGCAGTTCAGCAATCTACTGAAAAAACCATGCCACCTTACTGACACCTCAGCCACTAAAACCTTTTATGACTCGTTAAAGCATGGAATAAAATAGAAGTGCAATCATGAGCAAGAGATGTGTTGTTAATGAATGTCAGTAACATTTAATCCTACCATTTTAAACTAAACCAGCCAGTCTTCTGAACATCACAAACATCTGATTCCCTAGCACACAGCACACACGCATGTGCCCACCACACACGTGCCCCTTCTTTCCTAATAATTCTCACTCTGTTTTCTACTTGAGCAGAGTAATACACAGCCTGGCCCAGCACTGCCACTCCCAGCCTCTGTGCCAGTCTGCACACTCTCCCAAGACACAGGGAGCTTCACCCTCACATACCTTCTTTACTGCAGCTGGGAGACTGGCTCAGGTACTCCCCGTTCCCACCTTCTACATCCTGGGTCACTTCTGCAAGGACAACAGACAGTATTCAGACAACCCTGGAGCTCACAAGATTCCCCCACTCTGGCCCAGATGGATCAAAAGTAATCTGGGCTGGACTGAGAGCTGGGCCATTTGTTCAGCATCAATTATAGCCCCAGCCAACATCTCTCAACACTTCCCCCCACACCTCCACCTCACTGTACTGTCCTCATGACCCCTTCCAGACCCTGCAAAGGTATTCAGAAGGCATTCAGAATCCATGGTGCCACCCATAACTTCACATCAAAAAGCATTAGGCAAAAGTCACAACGAACAAAGTCCACTCCACAGCACAGGCACTTACCTCCTTCATTTACACAGTGGTCATCTGCATACTTGGGGAGCAAGCTGCACTTCTGCTTAAAGGTGTTTGAGGAGAAACAAGACAACAACTATAGTCCACTGCTTTGCTCAGTTTTAAGGTAGTGGCTATGGTACATGGGTGAGTTCCTAGCTATGGCTCAACATGTTGTCCACATCAGCAGCTAACACCAGAAAGCCAACACCTTTCTCCCAGGACAGCTCCCCACCAGAGAACATGCACTCACTTCCCTCAGTTATACCACTGTCAGCTTCACACTTGGATGTCAGGGTGCTGTCCTACATGGCAGACAGTTCTGAAAAATAGATCATAGGAGAGCTGCAATCCTCTGGAGTGTCTCTCTCTGCTTAACTTCAAACGGAATCAGTCATTGCTTGAAGATGACTCACCAGCTACAATTGGTAAGACACATAAAATCACTCTGGTTCACTTAGGGAGGGGGCCCCAATGGTCTCTAACCCAACACCCTCCCTCCATGAAAAGTCAACACTGAGTTCCAGACAGGTTACTCATTGCTCAGGACTTTCTCCAGCCAGCTCTTAAAAACCTCCAAGGGTAGATACTGCCCAAAGACTCCTTGCAGCCTGCCTTAGTGATTAGCTAATGTTTAGAAGCAGAAATCTTCTTCCTCAGATCCACACAGAATCTTTGCTTCCACTTAGGACCATAACCTTGATATCCTGCTAATGCACCTCAGTGAGATTCCTGGCTAAGCCCTCTTACCGATAGCCTCCTAGGTACTGGCAGCTGCTGTTAGGTACCCTGAAGGCCTGCTCTTCTCTGGGGTGGAACAAGCCCAGCTTCTTCAGCCTCTCCTCAGAGGAAGCGTACTCCAGCCCCTGGCCACATTGGTGGCACTCTGCTGAAGTTTATCAGCATTTTTCCAGTGCTGGGTGGGACATAAACCAGCTATAATATACTACACATCATCTAACAAGTGCCAAGTAATAGAAAATAACCACTTCCTTCAATCCACTGGTTTAAGCACTCCTTCAAACAGCCTAGGAGGCCATTTGCCACCTTTGCTGCTGGGGAGCAGTGCTGACTCCCAGCATACTGCCCAAAAGGGCTCCCACGTACCTCTCAGCAGAGCTGCTCCCCTGCCAGTCAGTCCCCAGCCTGCACAAGTGCAGGGTCTTGGTCCACTCAGATGCAGAACTCTGCAGAATTTCATGATGCCCACAGAGGCCTCCACCCCTCCATCACTCTGAACAACAATCCTACTCTTGTACTGATCTCCACGTTTCTCTATCACTTATAAACTCAATGACACTTTTCTCTGCCTTATCCAGATCGTCATAAAAATAGACCTCTGCAATATTCCACTTGCCATTGGGATCCATGAGGAATACAGCCCATTAACCTCTACTTGCAGGCTTGACAGTCTAGCAACTTTTTTTACACAGGTAGATAGACATTCATCCAGACTAGGACATCCCAACTTAGGACAACAACACTGAAGGACATTGCCTAAAAGGCCTCACTAAAATCAATGTATATGACACCCATTTGTCTCTCCTCACCCACAGATCACCAGAAACATGTTCCAAGCAGACTTGCCCCACAATTCTCCCAGGGATGAAAGTGAGCCTGACTGACCTGTAGTTCCACAGAAGAACCTGTTAGCCTTTTTGGAAAAAGCTGCAATGTTTTTTTCTTCCCATTGTTACCAGCTTTCCCAAACACATCTTTTGACAGCAGTAATGAATATCCTCACAATCATATCTGCCAGGAATTGTAGCAAGCCTTATATCAGATCCCATGGACTGGTTTGGGCCAAGGTTTCTCCAGAAATCCCCAATCTGATCCCCTTCCACCACTAGTAGATCTCCTTTGCCAGATTCTCTCCAGTAGCCCCATCTCTCTTGCACTGGGAAGCTCAGACCAGGACTCTAGCAGTGGCCTCACCAGTGTGGAGTAGAGAAGGATCATCTCCCTCCTACTGCTGCAAACATTCCTCACAATGCAGCCCAGGATACTGGTAGCCTCCTTTGCTGCAAGGACACTGCTGCCTCATGGTCATTGTCTTGTCCTCCAGGACCTTGTAGGTCCTTTATTGTAAAGCTGCTTGTCTGGCTGATGGGGCCCCAGCATATACTGGGGCATGGCATTATGCCTCCCTAGGTGCAGGATTTTGCATTTCCTTTTCTTGAACCTTGGACCCAGTATTGACCCTTGGGGTGCATGACTAGACCCAGATCTTCAACTGGAATTCATACCAGTGATCATAATCATCTGGTCTCAGACTTTTGGGCAGTTTTCACTCTGCCTCACTATCTGCTCACCTAGCCTATGCTTCACCAACATTAGGTATCACCAAATCAAACCCAAACGACCCATATTTTCCTCATTTGTTCTTCTAAAGATAACCTAGAAGCTGTTCTTGCTGTCCTGGTCATCCCATAGTGGTTTGCAAATCTCCCTGAGCCTTGGCCTTCCTGACACCGTCCTTACCTGCCTGGGTAGCATTTCTAAGGTCCACCACTGCAGCCCACTGCTGCCTCCACATCTAGCACAAGCAATTTTTGCACTGGAGCCCTGTCAGGAGCTCCCTGCTTAGCCAAGCTGATCTTCTGACCTTCAGAGGGTCTGGGCTCATGATTTGCAAACAGTCCTCCTTAAAGGCCTGATGGCTCTCTTGAGCTCCTTTGTTCTTTGGGGGCATCTCCCATGAGATCCTGCCCACCATCTTCCTGACTAAGTGGAAATTTGTTCTCCAAAAGCACATGCCCTGTAGCCTGATGCTCACCTTCCCCATTCCTCTCAGGATCTGTATCTGTTTCTGGGTCACTACAGCCAAGGCAGCCATTTGTGACAACATCCCCATCCAGTCCTCCTCTGTTAGCAGCAGACACAGCTGCACATCAGCCTTTGCTGATGCATCCAGTGGCCTGTGTTAAGAAGTTGTCCCTGACGCTGCCCAGAAATCTTCCTGACTGCTTGAATTGCTCTGTTGCCTTTCCAGTAGATGTCAGGGAATTTAGGTAGACACACAGAAAGTACTGTCTCCCACCAGAGACAATGAAGCCTGACTCCATTTCATAGAGCAGTAATCTCTTTACATCAGGCTTCCTCTTGGTCACATCAGCTCTTGCTCCTCATTTAAGTGCTTCATGTGCACATGCTGGGGGCCTGGAGGCTCTCTTTCAGCAATCTTCTGACAGGCAGCATTAACCAGAAGACCACAAGCCAGCACTTCAGCAGGGTCTGCTACTTGACCAGTATTCTCATCTCACTCTGACTGGGATTATATTTTTTTTTTTTTTTTTAAACCCCAACGATCTCCAAATGACATGTCCTTCAAGTTCATATGTTCTGTTGGGTTTATTTCCAAGGGTGGTAAACACTCAAGACTCATTCTGCTGATAACTACAGCCTGAAATCTGGTTAACTCTGCTCCTGAACCTCTTGCACAGAGGACAGGTATTCATGGCACAGTCCCACCCCAATAACTCCACCGAGAAGCATTACGCAGAAGTCACTCTGAGACTTCAGCTCCAAGGGTTCCTGGCCAGTTTGCCCACTATACCATTAGCACTGACTGCTCCACAGATCAGGCACTTACCTTCCTGATCGACACCATTGTTAGCCATCTGCTTCTCTTTCAGGGGACTGTCCTCCTTGTTCAATCCTTTGTCTGAAAAAAGATCAGAGAAGAGCTACAGTCCCTCAGGAGCACACTCCATTGCTTCTTCCCCGCACCATCACAGGCTGTTGCTCTGTACTGCCCAGAGTTCAGGAGTACACCTCCTCTGCAATAGTTGGGTACTGCTCTGCTACCAGCAGAAACTCAAAATTGTTCTATACGTGTATTTCAGAGAACATCATGGCCTTGCCTACTGTTTCCCAAACATATAGCAGTGAGTGTGCATGCTACCCAGGTGCTGCAAGGTGTACTGTGTAAAGGTGCACTGTCTCCCCTTCCTGATGTTCCCACTCTATACTAAAACAAAACACTTGTTTTTGTTCCTCCAGTGTCCAAATAGACAGTCTTTATCTGTGGACCTGATTCTCTTACCTGAACCATACATTTTCCTCCTTACTCCCATAAGACAGGCACAAAGTAAATCTCTTCCTCCTATATCTGTATCTGTGCATGTGGAAGAGTTACACAAGTGATAAGACAATCCCACAATGCACCACACTTTTGCCATTAGCTACACAACTCCTCTTTCTTCAAATGAGGAAAGCTGTTCTGTGCCCATTATAAATTATGCAGGAAGAGTAAGCAGCAAAACCCAGAAGCTTCTGGGCTTCTACTTCCTTATTGTCATCACTGGTAGTTCTTCCCTTACCCAGGAAAACCTGCTGCCTTCTCCAACCCTCTTATTATCAGCTACTCATGGAAAATGGTGGAAGTGGTGGTAAGTGAACAAATCAGTTCAACAGCCTGAGGAAAAACAAAACAACTTTTTTCTGACTTGAACTATAATATTTGTATTTCACTATCCCTCTGGAGTAAGCTTCCAGAAAAAAAATTACAGGTCCCAGAAGTCCCTTGGAAAATACACTGTCTGTACCAAGAAAACAAAAGTGGTGCTTTGCTTAGCTGCCTGATGAAAGCAGTCTGACTTTTTTAGAGCATAAAGAAAGTAAAGATACTGCATCCAGAAATGGTGCTTCTGTAATGAAAGAGGCTTACTGTGTCTCTCAGATAAGCATTTGGCAAGCTTGTAAGCTTCTCATCTCTAAATCAGTGTGTTGAAGCTCAGATCTCTCTGCCATCAATACAAAGCTTTGAAGCCACAGCACTTCAGTATCTTAGGTCCTGTGGAGTTTCTTTCCATCAGAAAGCAAAGATCACCTACCCCTGGTGACACACTATAAAAATATCCTTGGACTTTTTTTTGTATGCAAATAAAAGGTAACATTAGGAAAAAAGGGTAATTTGCTTATTTACTATAAAAAGGGGTTCCCTCATACATGCTTAGTTGTTCTTTCCACACATGAAGTGATTTTCAAACACAGCATGCAGCACCATTCTCTTCATATCAAGAGGGAAGCTGAAGCCCCAATAAGGTGTTTGCTCAGTACTGTTTAACACAAGGATCCAGATCTTCTTGTCTTCTCATCTAGTATCTACCAATCAATATTTACTGTTCCTAAGGCAACAGGTCTTTCTAAGCCAAGAGGAAAATTATAATCTCTACACTGCAAACATGCTAGTATGTTTTGGACTGCAAAAGATCATGTGCAAAATTAATTCCCACTTCATGTTCCCCTGTTTTAGGGGACCATCTCACTTATTACCTGCTTCAGGCTTTTCATTCTCATGATCAACCGCTTGTGAAGATGTAGCTGCAAGCAAACAATTTTTTTAGAAATGTATGTAATGCACAATAGTCTACAAGATATGGAACTCAGCCTTAAAGTGACAGTTCTATAACACTTTTTGCAGATACTCCTGAGAACTAGTGCATTGTGACACTTTAATAAAGGGCTCACAATTAATTTCAATTTCAGCCTCCCTCCAGCAACCACTTACTGTCGTAGACCATAGTCAACATTATCTATACTTATGGCTATGGATTCACAAAATCTTTCTGAAGTGAGTTTACTTGAGGTGAAAGCTGCACAGATTTGCCATAAAAAAGCCAGAGACTGCCAAGAAGAGAGGCCACATCTTTTTTTACTTTAGCTGTGTGTTGCATGAATACCGTGACTTTAAATCATTTCTGTTTGCAGGCCTTAAAGAATCTTTAATAGAAACATGAACCATTATAATGTAAATATAATGCACTACCAATATGAGGCATTTTGGGGTTTGGTGGGCTTTCTTCCCGTCCTCCTTTTTCACCTTCAAATCATCTGCAGTTTCTAGACCTCAATGATCTCTGGACCACTGACTAGAACCACAGCTTTAACAAATGTGCAAAGATATCAGAAGAAAGAGAAAGGTTTGGTTTGTTTTTTTTTTCTAATCCAAAATCCTGCTAAAAAGCTCCAAAGACTTTGATGTGCTGAGGCAGGGGGGTGTAGGAATGGAGAAAAAAAACAATACAAATGAAACAAGAAAACCTAAACCCCTGCTGTCACAACGCTACCTCCCTACATGTGGCATCTTTTCTAGGGCCATTACCAAGGACCTCCCCTCATGCTTTATAACCACTAAACCTGTAAAAACTATAAGAAACTTCAAAAATTAAAGAACAGTTTAAGAAATTAAAGAGACAGAAAATCTTTGCAAAGGTGACAATTTTCAGTTCAAGAAACATCCTGCCCCAGCCTTATCATAATTCCAGCAGCTTGTGTAAGACACCAGACTGAGCATCTCACACAAAGCCACTTTTAGTTCAACACCAGAATGTTTCAACAGGGCTCTGAGCTCATATCTGATGGTGGGAGCTTTGGTTATTCCCCACTGACACCACATTTGCTCTGGTGACCTCCATAACATTTTTTAAGAGTCTTCCCCTGGTCTCCCTAATCTCCTTGACTGCCTAGGGGCTGATTGTCTGGTTCACAAGGACAGACCACAGTGGTCCTGGGAACAAGATACCTACATGTTAAAGCTGGAGCAGGTTAACCTCATTCACCCTTGTGAAAGCAGCACAGACTAAAGGACGTGTCACCTTCCTTAGCTGCTCAACAGAGTGATTCCCCCACCCCAATACACAGACCAAGAAAACAGAACTGAGCAATTTTGTTGCAAATTAAAAGAAAAAAAAAAACCCAAACCACCAAAAAAAAAAGCCAAGCAAAAAGCAATGCAGGATTAGAATGGACAACAGAAGCATAAACAGATCTGGACAGGAAGACAGGAATGCACAGAAGCCTAAGAATCTGTACTGCCTGCAGAAGGGCATCATATAAAGAAGTCATGGGTGAGAAGCAGATTGGTAACTAATGGAAACAGGTCAGAACTTCCCTCACTATCTCCTTCCTTCATCTTTACTGTTACGAGAATAAAGGCCTGCAAAATGTTCTGAGAGTGAATAAAAAGGTGCTGCTAACAGTTTTTTTCCTGAAACAACTGAAAGAGGCTGAAGAAAGAAAAGGACACAATTACAACTTGACCCACAGAACGTAATCATGCACCAAGAACGAGGACCAGAGCTCTGCACATGAGATTAGAAACAAGGCTGTCTTCACCAGCCTTTGGATAGATTTTCAAGATAAGACCAAGGTAAATGAACAGCAAACTCCAGCCAGTCTGATGTGATAATACTTCCACCAGTCATCATTAAATCTACTGCTACATGCACAGAATCAGCCCGCATGAACTAGAACCATCAGCTTTCCAAGTTAAATTCAATGTGCAGACAAAAGGACTAGTTGCTCTATCTCCAAGGAAGGCCAGCAAGAAGTTTCCAGGGGGGACACTGAGAATGTGTTACATTCATGCCACACCCTAAGCACTTTATATCAATACTAGGTTCAGAAAAATAATCAACCAAATTTCTGAAAGTTTATATGAATGGGACAGGCAGGTAAGAATAAAAGATGGAAGAAACACTAACCTAATTTCAGCACATAAATCAGACCTAACCTAAGGAGTAAGTTCTCCAACAGACACAACTACCCTGTGAGCTTTTCCAGCCCTCATGCTGAGGCCAGCCCCCATTCCTCATTGTCACAAGTAGGACTCAACTCCAAAAAGAAGTGAACCCATGCTAATACATCCACTAAGTCCAGGTGCCTATGACTATCCAATATTGGACCTTAACTGAGCCCTTGAGGCTGTATACACACTGAAAATTAACTCAAAAGCTTAGACTGTGCAAAAAGGAAAGAGCAGATCAGGCTCCTTGTTCCAATCAGCAGCATATGTTTAGAAACATTTATACTCCCAAACCAGGTTTCTTACCTCTGTCCGAGGTAGGCTGTTCTTGGCTGCCCTCAGCACAAAGAAGCTGACTTTCTGCTGTAACAAAATTCATTTATTTTAGAAAGTACATATTAATAACCTGGGAAAAGTAACTACACTCTGTAAAATAACTAAGGCCAGAAAAAAAAAAAAAAAAAAAAACGCGCCTTTCCCTCTCCAGAGAAAAATCATACTGCCACAGGAAAAAAAAAAAATTACAAGCCTATACCAAATTAAAGCAATGGTCTGATTTCCAAACATTTGTGAAACTAGCCCTCTTACCTGAGCCATGCACCAGACTGGCCTGTGCAGCACTTCCCATTACAAGTTTAGTTCTACCTGCAGCAAAACAAATAGAAGACCTGGAGAAATTACTCAAAAATAAAGTTTTATGCCTTTGGAAACTAGTTGACAGCCTCCATCCATTACACACCCACACACCAAATTAAAAAATTCACTGAGGACATGCAACTGAATACTTGACTTTGGGAAAGAAACTGAAATATTTGGTTTGGGCAAAGAATCAGTGTGAGATCAACAAAATGGGCCTTCCTGTAACAGGTCAGAACAAATATAACCAAATCTAAAGCAGAGCTTAGCAATTTATGCTTCCGAGTCTTGTATTTAGATCAGCAAATCACATCTTCTGTTTGAAGACATGTGCTCTTGCAGTAGAAGACTAACAGATACTGGGCTGTGTTAGCAGAATGTCAGAAATGTCATCAGACACCAACAGACAATTCTTTCCCTCTAGTCAATATTTGTGACACCACACATGGAATACTGTGTCTAGTTTCAGGCTCCAAATTTAGAAAAACCACTGGCAATGTGCAAACTTCTACCAAGTTGTTTAAGGAGCAGGACCTTTACAAGGAAGTGCAGAGAGGATTGGGTATGTTCAACCTGAAGAAAAAGGCTAAGGGGATGGCTAATTACAATCTACAACTAACTTAGAAACCAAAGAACTCCTCTCAGAAGTACAGAATGAAAACAAACAAAAAAAAGAAATCAGGAAGCAAAGGCTGCAAATTGCAGAAGGGAAATTCCTAACAGAAAGAAGGAAAATATCCTTCCCTGCAAAGATGATTCAACACATGGTGGAAGAGGCTCAGAAATTTCCCTCCTTAGGATTACTCAGAGTTTGACTGGACAAAGCCCTGAACAACCTGATATAACTTTAAAGTTAGTCCTGCTCTGAGCAGCAAGTAGTATGAAGACTTCAGAGATTCCTTCCTACCTAGTTTATTCACTGATGCCATAACAAAACTAAATGGAGAGCAATCAGGAAAGCATAAGGTCCATATGCAGTATACTTCTATATATGGTCTGACCAGAGCCTCCCTCTAGAGACTCAGTCTTTCCCAGATAGATGTTTTCCCTTCTCTTCCCTGTGCAGCCATCCCCCAGTGGTGACCCTGCTCAAAGCCAATAGAAACGTTCCATGTAAAGCGCCCTTATGATAAGGCAATGGATTCCTGGTTGGGACTCTCTCAAACACAAAGAGAAGAGATAGTGCACATGTCTTGTTCCAGAATACAATCTGACATATTAACCTGAAAAGGTGACAGCAAGAGATACATAACGATCACCTACAATCAGAGTTTTTGAATGAACTGTTAGATTTACAGAAAAGATACTTGAATTCAGTGTAGGGATGGATCAACAAACACACACAGAACTCCAAGATGATGGCAATACAGGCTGACAGGAAACACAGGAGTCCCTTTGTATCAGTTACTGAGTTGTCAGATTAGACTCAGCATAAGGTATTCAACAGGCTCTGGTAAGAGCCTGTCTCAAGAATAAATTTGATCTTTAGGGCAGCTTCATGACGCTCTCAAAAAATGCAACCAAAGCACACTCAGGTAGGAATGGGAGAGGCAACAGATGCCTGTTAAGTAGAAACACAGTAAATTAAACAGTCCAAGGTAAAAACATGCAAACACAAACTACAGTGTTTCCCAGTACACAGAGCCCAGTGTCTAAGCACAGTAACGTTCAGTATATTATTTCCTTCAACTCTATTAACCTTTGCCTAAGTAGGACTTGTTTCTGCTACTGTGTTCACAATACATGCCATGGTCAGAAACTTTCACATGTTCTACAGAACCTCGGATCAGCATAATCAATAAGGAAGCAGCATAATCAATAAGGAAATGGTATACATACCTTTTTTAAATAAGACTCCTGCTATTCCTCCTACAACTACAACTAAGAGAACAAAAGGCACAATAAGAGCAGCTCTGCTTCTTGTATGATAGCCATCTCCTTCAAAAAAATAAAAGAATGATTCATTAGCTAAAAAGCAATTGTGTGGTACACTACTTCAGCAGAAAAGCAAACCTGGGTAGGTTTTGCCTTTTTTTTTTTTTTTTTTTAAAGTAACCCCAAGAAATTAATGCACCAGAGCCAGTTACTAGGAAAACCCCAAGTCAGCTCTAGGGCAGTTATGTGGTAAGTACCTCAGCTCTGTGAAGGCACAGCATCATTTGAAAGGCAATGGCTCTTCCATTTCTGGACCTATGAAGGGGCAAGCCAGATCTCAACCAAATAAAGTTTCAGCAAATGTTGGGTGGGCATAGCAAGGTTTTGGCAGCAGGGGGGCTGCAGGAGTGGCTTTGGTGAGAAATGGCAGAAGCTGCCCCCAAGCTGGACAGAACCAGCTCCAGCCAGCTCCAAAACAGACCACACTGCTGACCAAAGCCAAGCCATCAAGTGATTGTGGTAGCACCTCTGCGATAACCTCTTTAAAATGGGGTAAAAACCCACTGCGCAACAGCAGCTTGGAGAGAGGAGCGAGCATATGCGAGAGAAGCAACGCTGCAGACACCACGGTAGTGAAGGAGGAGAAGGAGGAGCTCCAGGCACCAGAGCAGATTCCTCTGCAGCCCCTGGGGAGGCAGGCTGTCCCCCTGAGACCAGCGTAGGTTAACAGCAGAGCAGATATCCACCTGCACCCCATAGAGGACCCCATGACAGAGCAGGTGGGTGCACCCAAAGGAGGTTGTGACCCTGTGGGAAGCCCACACTGGCGCAGGCTCTGTCAGGACCTGTAGACCAAGGAGCCCAAAGCAGGAGCAGGTTTGTTAGCAGCACTTGTAACCCTGTGGGGAACCCTCTAGAACAGTCTCTTCCTGAAGGACTGAACCCCATGAGGAGGGACCCACACTGGAGCAGTTCATGAAGAACTGAAGCCTGTGCAGAGGACCTACGTTAGAGAAATTCATGGAGGGCTGTCTCCCATAGGAGAGACCCCATGAGAGCGTGAGAAAGGAGGAGCAGCAGAGCTAATGAGTAATGAACCGACTGCAACCCCCACTCCCTGTCCCCCTGCGCTGCACAGGGGGAGGGGTTAGAGAGAAATCAGGAGCGAAGTTGAGCCTGCGAAGAAAGGGAGAGGGAGAAGGTGTTTTATATTTTTGTTTTTCATCATCCTACTCCAATTTTGATTGACAATAAATTCAATTAATGTTCCCCAAGCCAAGTCTATTTCACCCATGGCTATAATTGCTAAGTGATCTCCCTGTCCTTATCTTGACCTATGAAGCTTTTGTTGTATTTCCTCCTTGCTGCCCTGCTTAGGAGCAGGAGTGAGACAGCAGCTTGATGGGCACCTGGAGGCCAGCAAAAGTCAACCCACCACGTGCCTTATTTTAAACAAGTCTCTAACACAATTACATTGAAGGAGGAGGTATTAAACCATGAAAAGCAGTTAAACTGGTTTAACCAGTAAGCCATGAAAATTACTTCTGCAGAGAAGCAGAGAATTATGTCAGGGACTGCTTTACACATCCTACAAACCAGAGTTCCAAATGTGTTCTCACCCTAGGTTAAAAAAAAAAAAACAAACACTATAAAAAAAACCACCACACCATTAAACAATAAAAGCGCAAGCCTCAAGCTGACCTGAAGCTCAGAGCTGTGGCTGACTTGAAGCAATGAGCAACAGCAGGAAAATTCTTTTCTCCTTTTTATATCTGTCTGTGAAGGAAGACAAGTATCCCATTGACTCATGCATGTGCTAGCAAGAAATCATGTTACCTAATGGCTGCGAGATGAAACTATCCAGTCATTTCAGTTGAGTCATTCCAGTTCATGGAAAGCAGTACAAAGAGCATAGAGCATAACAGTCAGTAGCATTAATTATGCAAGGCCGAAAGGTTCAGAACATATCTTCTGAATGAGCAATAATAGGGAGAGGCTTAAAGTCAGAGCTGAAGGTTGTATGCTGCTGAGGTGTCGGCAAAAAGTATCTTGCCAGGAGATCAAACTGTGAACCTCGTACCTTTCACCAACCTTAAACTCTTTTAGCAGTGTTTTATCAACTCTTTAAATCAACTTTCTGAGAAGCCAGTAGAAGCCTTACACTGAGTCTACACTGCTTCCTAGCCTAGCCTCAGGCTTGTAACCTGACCCATTCATTACCTTTATCATCTGGAAGGCATTGAATCAAAGAGATTTCAGATCTCTTTTCTGTTTGAGAGAATTTAATGATACATGCCGCTTTCTTGGAAGCATCAACATTCTCCTTAGGGACTGAAACTTCCTGGGTGTGAACAGAGGTTGGTATGTCACTGAATATCCAAGTGTAACTCAGAGGCTTCTGGAAATCTACTTTACATTTTAGCACAATTTTATCACCACTGATGTTGCAACTTATTTGAGGTTCTGAAGGGGGATCTAAAAGGAGAGAAAACATCGTGTATTACTTTGAATTCTGAATTCCAGCACAGGACAAGCTGGAGCAACAAAAGCAGACACCTTTATCTATATGCTCTCCTGCTATGTAAGACAAAATTTATTTTTAAAAGTGGCTGTGTTTGTGGTTCTTCAATGCCTACTTTGAGAACCTTCATGTCAATAGGTTTAATGTGCACACTGGTCAAATTTATTTCCCAAAGACTACTAGTGAAGCTGGGTATTTCTGCACAGGATGATGCAGCAGATACTCAGCCATGTACAATATACCTGCAGAAGCATCTTTAGTAGGTACATACTGCCTGGGATGACTTGGTCAGATTACTGAGAGTTTGTTCATCTGCCTAAAAATACACAGTGTGCCATGGACATACACTCAAGAAATCCTTCCAAGGTGAGTACTAATGAGCACACAGATTAAATGCCATCTTTGAAAAATTTGTTTCAAGTGCCTAAGCAGCTTAACAATAGAGCCAAAGAGCCCTCCTGTATCTGCTTGCTTCCCTGACAAATAAATAATCCCCTTCCCAACCTTCTTAAAGTGAAGGAAGTGGTGCAAATTCTTTATGCAGTTCTTCCACTACTTACCTAACACAGCAAGTGTGAAGGTGAACTCCTCAACACTTTTCACAGAATCCATGTACTCAAAGACATATGTGCCAGTATCACTGTTACTCAAGTTAAATATAGTCAAGCACCCATTCTCCGTGTTAAGTAATCCTCTGTTCTGGAGAGAGTTAAAATATGTTGGATTGTTCTGTCCTTCCCACTCAGCAACTTTATCCTTGTTTTTCCTCCAAATAATTTCCTCCATTTTTTGGTCTATTTTTACTGGAAAAATATAATTTTCTCCCAAGATGCCAAACACCTCTTCACAGTGGATGCATGCTACAGGGGAAACAAAGGGAAAAAGTTAATTATTTCATAAACTCTTACTTGACTAGTGCTGTATGCACCATCAGATACATTGAAATTTAGGTTTGAATCCCATCTCAATGTTGCAAAGTAAGGCACGTGTCAGTTAAAAATTATCCAAACCCACACAACTATATGACAGGCACCACAAAGGGATCCAATTTCCACATTCTGGTCCCAGGTAGAATCATTGTCCTGATATTCTTCCCTATCCTAAGCTCTTCTATCCTCAGTATTTTCTCCCTCAATTTGATTGAATTTGGCCTCCTGCCCACAGTCTGGTGAAAAATATGAAGTGAGGAATTATCACGAGCAAAATCTATCTCAGCATCTTGTTGCAGAATGCCCAGACTGAAACTCCTGGTGAGCAAATAAACTGCATTTTTTCCAATATGACTATTCAGAGTTACTGAAAAGCACATTTCTGACACGAAATTTCCACTCAGTCCAAAGCACCTGTTCTGAAATCATGGGGATACTAGAGAAGTCCTTTGGAAGCGTCACTCAAGCAAGTTTACTTCACAGCCAATGCATGTGAAATAGCATCCCAGCCTCTGAGATCCAGCAGAAGTGCCAGAAATGGGAGCTGCCCAGAAACCCTAACTGCTATTAGTTTTGAATCAATCATATTGTGCTAAAAATGGCCCAAATATTCAATATAAACAAGTTTTTAAAAAGAAAGGAAGACAGAAGAGATTTTGCCCTCATTTTTATTGAAAACAGCAATATGTGCAAAAAAATATCCCAAAACAAACTACTAAAAACTCAAATTCTGCCATGGGGAGCAGACACTTTAAACCATGAGCATCTCTGTATCCCTGCTTCAGTCTTTAGCAATCATCTCCTACTACCAAATAGCTCTGAATGGCTCTAAGACTGAAAAAAAAAAATAAAAATCAACAATTCACAAGTCTACTGCCATGACAGATATGTATGTAAGCCATAGGCAAAAACATGCCAATATTGAGTTCAAGTTACACTTGCATTAAGGACTCAATTCCACTCCATGGTAGCCAGTAATTTTTTACTACTAAGTTGAAGGAAGGACATGACTAAAATAGAAATCAAGTCTCCTATTAAGTCAAGATTCCCAATATGCACCACAGAACACTTCTCTTTAAATAGTAAGTGCGTGGTGAATGAGAAGTATTTCAGAAGCCTACTCCTCAAGTCAGCTGCTCCCAGGTAACAGTTTTGGTTTTTTTTTTTTTTATTTATTTATTTATTTATTCCTAAATGGCATCAAGTTTAGAACTCACCAATCCCTATATAGTTCTATGCTTCCTTTGCTTCTCATGTCATCATTGTATGAAAAGTTACTGCTGTTCATAACTCAGGGCAGACACTGCAGCTTTATCACAGAACAACAGTTACTTCCCTTCGCTGTATACAAGTCCAGAAAACAAACTGTAGGATGCGGAGCAAGATGGGTTATCTCCTTTCCATAGGAAAGCAGTCCAGAATTCAGCCTGGCCAGTCACCAAGAAGATTAAGTTCTTCATCAGCAAAGAACGATGCTCAGTAGCATAGTGAGTGTCCTGCTCCTCTGCCTGGTGCCACACCACAGAAACAGACTTTGTCTGACACAAGACAGAAGGCAAGCAATGGGAAACACTTCTGTATGCTTGAGTACAGGTCTGCACATACAGTAGACCATCCCCATGCCTTACTTCTCACAGACCACCCACTTTGATTGCAATTTACCCACAGAGCACTCTTCTCATGCCATTACAGTTTCTCCTTGTTGTCTGCGCATACACTGTGGCCTTTTCCAGGCACAGGGAACTGGAGAAGTAAACAAGGTAAAGAGGGCTCAGCTGTCATCCTCACACCTTATCAACACAACCCACACATGGTGTTCTATCCCGTTCAGACAGATGTAGACATCACACTTGCTCCAGCTGCTCCAGTACGAGTATCTCTTTCCATACATCTCAGTTAACAATTTGCAGAAAAGGAAAGAACCCAGGAGCTCCAACATTTATGGTTTGAGACCAAAAGAATGCAGGGTGCTGGGCAAGATCAAACACTGTTTTGATCTGATGAAGCCTGGCAGCCTTGTTAAGAGACTTTTGTTTCAGAAAGACAGTATTTAGGAGTGTTTTCCTCAAGAAGTCATCTCTCACTGCCTAGGGACCTATAGTATTCCTATCATGGAGAAAAACTCTTTGCTCTACTCACTGTGAAATTGTACCTCTCAGCACCTTTATGTCACGGACACAACCCAAGGTGTGGTGACTTAACATCAGAATGCATAAGACATGCCACGGTGCCTGTTGACATGAGAAAGGTGACACAACTCGTCTGTGAGGAAAGTAGACATTCGCTGAGGACAAAGCACATGAGCAAGGACAGCCACCACTCCTCAGCCAACCACTAATAAATTCCTAAGCCTGGGTGTTGACTGTGTGTCTGTAAACTCTCTAAGATCTTGCGTGGTTTCTATTTGTCTTAAGAGCTAGGCTGCAGTTATGAGGGTAAGACTGTTTCTTCAAGAAAAATGAAAGTGGAGGAAAGCAGAGCTGAAAACCTCTTCCTTCCACAGCTTCTGCTCGGTTTGGGGGTGCACTGCCCTTTCCAGCACACTCTTGCTGGCTGCTGAAACAAAGGCCTGGCAGCAAGCCAAGAGTTCCTCTCAAAGAATACTCAGGGCTTCCAGGAGGCAGGCAGGGAAAAGGCTATCCTTTCAGAATAACTATCTCCTCCTGCCTAAAACCAGAGATCAGACACACTCTAGTGGAAACAGGAAGAAGCCTCACACTCAATGCTGTCAATTTCCTTTTTTTCTAAAGAATTATACATCATGCAGAAATGTTGCCTGAGGTTTCCCTGTATTGCATCGTGCAGTTCTGAGCTTCTAAAGAAAGCATGCGTCATCTTTTTTTTTTTTTTCAAAATATCAAAGGAAACCGTCACCCGCTTTTGTACTTCATTTTAAAGAGACAGATTTCCCCTTCCTCAGCAGTTAACTTCTCTGCTGTGAGCACACAGGGAGAAGTAACAGCCAAACACTCATCCATACGCTCTGTTTGCATAAAAATGATATTCTCTGCTTTCTCCCTCTCTCTTTTTTGCATATCGTTCCAAGATACAGTTCAAATGACAAAGTAGCCCTCCATTAAGGCCTCCAGCAGCCTCTACAGAAATTGTCAGGCTACCCTGCTCCTGTGCCTTCTTCAACCCACTCCACATTCCTTCTTACACCACATCTTTGTGTACTATCCTTCCAGATAAACCACATAACAAAAGCTTCCCTCTTAAAGAGAAGCTAGCATTGCGTGAGAAAAGCCTTTTCTGCAAACCTACCACCTCACCTCACCTACATCATCTTCTGTTCCCACTTCTCCATCGGGCAGATACATCTGCTGTGCAGCCTCCTCATCCCACCAGTGACTCAGAGCCCCGGGGAAGCACCCTGCCCACTGCACAGCAGCTGAACCCCAACAACAGCACAGGCACACAGGCCTGGCCTGCAGCAAACTCCAAGCCGTGAATCTTAGTCTGGTTTGCAGCTGACAAAAACATTTCAGAATTTCTCATGTTTGACAACTACTCAGCTAATGCAGGCAGCCTGGAACTCCATGCTAACCAAATCCCATCTCTGGCTGCAGGGCTGGATTGCAGCCTACTCAAAACAAGGCACAGCCCTTCATTCGGAGTAACAGGTCACCCATACAGCTTAGAGTGCCATACTTCAACTTGAATATACACCTGAAAACTCTTTAAGCATGCTAAAGGTATCCACATATTTGTTCAGATGGGTATGTGGAATTTAGTATTCCATTTGTCAGAATTAATGCTTTATTACTATATTGATCTACCTGATTCAATTTTTTTTCACTACTTTTCTTTTTCTAAGGTTTATTTATTCCAGAAAACTTCTGCAAGCCAATTCCCTTTTTATTTTTAATGCTATCATTATTATCTTCTTTGGTCCCAAG